AAGGGTTGTCGGTGTCACTCGAAACCGGTGACGCATGGCCCTCAGTCTTTTGCCCACTCCGACTGAGCTGGCTGGGCTGGGTGATTTGGCTGCCATTCGGCTATGGACAGGTCTAGGTGAAGACGTGTGGGATGCGGCCAGTCGAGACCTTGGTGGCATTCCAAATGTGCGCATGTTCGCTTTTGTTCCTGCAGACACCTTCCGTGATATGCTTGCTCGCGTGCGGATTCCAGTCCGTGCCTCTGGCTCCGGGGCCCCTCCTGCCCCTCGTGAATGCAGTGCGATCGAACTGGTCCAATTGGCGGTGATGTGGCGTGTGGCACGGCAAGCATATGGTTTACCTGATTGGGACATTCTTTCACCAACACCACCTGCACATGTGACAGCTGCAGCTGGGACGACCACAGCGGGAGCAACTCCAAGTTTGGGAGCCAAGAAGATTAAGTTGGCAGTGCATCTTGATCAGATGGATGACAATGAAGTCGAAATCATCACAAGAGCTGATTTGGAAGACTGCTACAGGCAATATAGAGATGTCACTGGCAGTGATCCCCAACCTGATGCTGACCCTACATCAGAACAGGTGACAGGCATGCGGTCCAAAATCATAGACAGAGGCGAAAGTCCGTATGCCGATTTTAGTGTCTTGGTCCCATACGGAAAGGAACTCCAGAAGCAGATGAAGGCCCGTAGCTGGCTGTTGCAAGAAGATGGGTCATGGAAGAGTGTTGACGTTCCTGGACCCCCCTTCATATACTGCATGGCTCAAGTGTTGGCGAGTTTACAGGACTCTCCTTCTGATGTTAAAGCACCCAGCAGTGGCACCAGCAGTGCCCAAGCCTGTGGTGACCATAGCTGCATTGGAAGAGTATGCAGACAAGATCTATGAGCTAGTGTCAGAGTTTCCAGAATGCTACTATCTGGTATGGCAGGCAGATGACCGGTGCCGTCGAGATGAATTCGAGCGCATTCGACGGTCGTTGACGAGGGCAAGGCTCAATGGGACTTTGCCGATGAATGTACAGTTTGACCCAGACCAACCATGGGTAGGAGTGTTCACGTATGCTGCCAGAGATGGTGAGTACTGGGCTCGACATGTAGTGCGACCTGCTCAGACATTCTTGGCTCGTGGTGGAGGTGGGAAGCCAATGAGCAAAGAGCATGCTGAAGGAGCGTGGCATGACAAAGATTGGCAGCATCCTGGGCCAGGACAAGGTTTGTCGAGGAATGCTCGCAAACGAAGGGCAGAGAAGCAGAGAAAGGAGGAGGAAGTAAAGAAGAGACAGCAAGACTGGAGCGGAGGTTCCGGTAACGACAGAAGGTGGAAGCAAGCTCCAGCCATTCAACACCCTCGAAAGTTTGGGGGAACCTTCATCACCACTCGCGAAGGGACAGAGATTTGCTACAAGTTCTCAAAGGGGGCTGCCGACTCGTGTCCTGAACCTTGTCCTGACGGTCGGGCACATGTTTGCCAATATTGCCTCGGAGGACACCAGAATGCCACCTGCCCCAAGAAGGGTGAGAAAGGAAAGGGAAAAGGGGGGCAAGACCCCAAGCAAGTGACAGGAAGAGAAGAACAGCCTGGACTCTTCCTTTGCAGAGACAGAGGATGAGTTCGGGGCTGTCGATGTGCATGACAATGATGTGAATTCAGATCGAGATGACTTTAGTCCTGATGAACAGTGGAAAGAGACGCGGCTCAGAAAGTTTGTCTTTGGTGAGTTCTTTGCAGGCATGGGCGGCTTCTCTACGGCAGTCCTGGACATATGTGAAACACATGTAAAGCTCGGGAGCCTGGAGAGGCTAGACGCCTACGACCAGAGTTGGGACATTTTAAATGACGAGGACTATGTCAAGGCAAAAGAGTTGTGTAACACTGAGTTGGACCACGGCCACTTTGCTCCGCCATGTCGGACATTGACAGAGGCTCGCAGGACGGACAAACATGGATTTGTTCCCATACTTCGTTCTGCAAGCAAGCCTGAAGGTTGGGGTGATGAGCAAACCAAAGAGGCCAATGAGATAGTTGCACGAACGGTGGTATTATGCCTCATGTTACATTCCCGCGGAAAGACGTTTTCAGTGGAAAATCCCTTTGGATCCTTTCTGTGGCTGCTCAAAGTGATGCAAAAGCTGATGAGGTTGGCGGGAGCCGAATTAGTGATGCTGCACCAATGTTGTTATGGCGCCTCCACTCCAAAGCCAACTGGAATCTTGACCACCTCACCGTGGATGAAAACGGTGCGGAAGCTCTGCTTTGAAGTAAGACCTCATCACCATTTGAAAGAAGGTCTGGTGGGAAAGGTTTGGAGTTACTTGGAGGACAAGGTAGTGTGGCGATCTTCTTTGGCCGCCGAATATCCTTGTGGCTTGTGCGTTGCTTGGGCAAATGCATTGAAACGTTGGTTGTGCTCAGCAGAAGGGTTAGAATGGATGAAAGCGCATAGCATGGCTCTTCGAGGACGCTGGCTGAATCAGTTAGTTCGAGGGGACAGTGTACCAGAAAAAGATGTGGCCACTAGGGCAGTGCAGTCGCAGCGTGAAGTTCGTGAAGAAGAAAACAGCAGAGCTATAGGAGGTCTTCGTGATGCCAGAAAAGCAGTGCAAAAGTCTTCTTCGTTGAGACAGACCGGACGGAGGATTCGCCGTGCTTTGGAGAAAGTCCGAAATGAGTCAGACTTGGAAGCGTGGGAGCGCTCAGTTACAAATGGCATCTCGGAGACGCTGGTCAGTTCCTTTCAGGAAGAACTGGCTAAAGAATTTAGGGTGCAAATCGAACAGTCAGCTGGATTCAAAGTCTCACTATGGCGTGCCTTGTTAAGAAATGCCAACGACTGTGAAGCTGGCATCTTGCCATGTTGGATGGAGAGTGGCTTTCCTTTAGGCATTGAAGAAGAAATAAAGCCATCTGGAGTATTTCCATTGACCACGGAGGACTCAGCTGCAGTGGAGGCTTCCAGGTTGGAAGGAAAGTGGATGGATGACCAAGATGGCCTGCATCGCAACTATACCAGTTTCGAAGATGCCGGCGTGAAGGCGCAGAATATTTTGGAGGAGATGGTTGCAATTGGCCGAGCCCAGAAACTGGCAAGTTGGCAAGAAGTCCAAAGTCGTTTTGGTTGCAAGGCCCGTTTGACGAAGCTAGCCTGCATCATCAAAGCAAAGCCGGATGGTTCTGAGAAGGTGCGGTTAGTGGTGGATTCCAGACGGAGTGGCGTCAACGGGCTGACAAAGCTTCACGAGCGCGTTGTGCTTCCTCGCGCCACTGACATTGGTAAGACTTGGAAGAGACTGCAAGATGAAACTGGCGGCTGGAAAGAGGCTGAGTTGTTTTCTGCTGATTTTGCAAATGCTTTCAACATGTTGCAGCTATGTCAAAGTGAAAGGCCATATGTCATCGTCAAAGGGCATGAAACCCCTCACGAACCTGCCGCCTTCTTTTGTTTCAGTGCTGTCATGTTTGGACTGGCTCCGGGACCTTTGTTGTGGGGCAGAGTTGCAGCAGCAGCAATGAGGCTCGCACAAGCTGCAATCACGCACGGTGAAGCCGAGGTATCGACTTTTGTGGATGATCCCTTGGTAGTGGCCTTTGGCAGTAGTCAAAGAGAGCGCACTTGGCTATTCGCTTGTTACAGTTTAGTTTGGCGGGCTTTGGGGCTGGAAATGTCATGGAACAAAGCGCAGCGAGGTCTCATGGTTGACTGGATCGGCTTTAGCTTCTCCCTTCAGTCGGCTGGGCAAGAAAGAAGACTGAGTGTGCAGCTTATGAAGGCAAAGCAAGCAAAGCTCGTACAAGTGCTGAACGATCTGCTGCAATGCAAGGGCGTGCTCCCTCTGAAGTCTTTGCAGCTTGCTGTAGGAATTCTGGGTTGGGTCACGTCAGCACTTCCTTTGGCGCGACCTTTTGTGGCAATGATATGGGCTGCAATTTTGCAACAAAGAAAACCAGTGTATTCGTCCACACGTGTTCGGAAGGGCCTCATTTTCTGCAGACAAGTTGAGCACGCTTTGACTTGGTTGAAGGCATTAGTGTCGGCATGCACACCTGACGGGTCCACTATGCAGAAAGTGTACCGTTGGCACCCCACTCCTTGGACCATACTGATCCAATGTGATGCTTGCCCCACCGGTATGGGTGGATTTGTTGCCATTGCAGGAAAGATTGAGGCTTTCTGGTACGATTCTGTAACATGTACCGACGAAGAGCTCCTGGGCTGCAAGCGGGGCGACCCTAGTCACCAGTCTGAGTTGGAGCTGCTCACGGTTCTCGTTTCAGTTAAAGCTTTTCAAGCCTTTGTGATGTCTCCGGCGGGGCCGGCAAACGTGCTCCTCCGTGTAGACAACACGGCTACCTTGGCTGCAGCTTTGGACCTTCGTGGAAAGAGTCCCATTATGGCTCAGCTGGCTGCAGAATTAGCCATGGAACTTGAGCACTTGGGAGTGCCTTTCATATGGGGCCAACATGTGCCAGGTGTGATGAACGACATCGCAGACCGGTTGAGTCGCATGAACACCGAGCAGAGACTCCCTCTTGAGTTGGCACGGGCAAAGCAGGTGCTGGTGCCGATTCGAGACCGATCGTACTACAGAAGCTGGCCGCCAGTGTCTCAAAACATGTCTTGTGCGCTCCGAAGGGGGCCCGTCGTCATGTTTGTGCATTTGACTTGTGAGACACGAACGTGCTTGGCTGATGGCTGGGTATGATCTTCCATGAATTTCACTCCCCGTTCCTTTCGGTCATCGCATCTTTTGCTGGCCCAGGAACCCTTGGCGACGAAGTCAACTGTGGTGGGGACCTGGCTCAGAGGGTTCCTTCTCAACTTCTCACTTTTCCGTTCAAGCTGTGTGTGGGATCAAGTTTGAGATGTGCATGAGCTGTTTTGCATGAGCTGTTTTGCATGTGCTAGGGCATGTGCTAGGTTCAAACTGTGTGTGGGATCAAGTTTGAAATGTGCATGAGATGTTTTGCATGAGCTGTTTTGCATGTGCTAGGTTTGGAATCAAGTTTGAGTGGTGCATGAGTTGTTTCGCTTGAACTGGCTTTGACTTTGTACGTAATCAAGTTTGAGCTGCGCGTGAGCTGTTTTGTGACTTTGTGCAAGGGCTGTTTGCTCTCGGAGCCATGAAATTGGCCGAATATTTTTGTTTGGTAGGCGTTTAAGGCAAGGTTCGTGGCGCTTTAAGGTAAGGTGCGTGATATGAAGATGAAGATGTTAGGTTAGGTGCATGGCGTGCAGATGTTTGCTTTTAAATTTCAATAAAGCACGCATCGTTTTGCTCCTAAGGTACCAACGACATGGCATTTCGCTGGAACCAGGAGCCTAGAGGGAGCGACTGGGTTTTAGCGGCGCAATGAGCAAGGTGAGAAAATTTTGAATGACGAAGCCCTTACCGAATTTAAGATATGAGGAAGTTCCTTTAATACTAATAAAGTGATTTGCCGGTGAGGATTAAAAAACTCACGTAAGTTAAGAAAGAGACATGTCGACAAGAAAGATTGGCTCAAATGTGGGCTGCGCTTCGCTGGGCGCGTAGTCGTCCCCGTAGGGGGG